GGAGGGAGGCGGGGGCGCCGTTAAACCGCCGCCTGGTGCGGGAGGAGGCGGGGGCGCCAAGGTACGAGTTTAACGGAGCAAGTGAGCGGCTCTCTCTCCAGGGAGAGCCTGCGGGGCGTCGTTTTCTCACGTTCCGTTACTTTTGTCACGGGCGGATCGTTTAACTGGAGACAGACGATCGAGAGCCGCCCGAGTCACTCCGGACGCTGAGGTAGGAGCGGCGGCGCCGCCTCAGCGGAACCAGAGTAACGTGCGCTCGCAGTACTTGGGCTTTGGGCTCCAGAGCCTCCGCGCTCCCCCGCCTCACAGGCACGTTTTTCTGTTTTTCTTCCTCCCCTGCGTTGCTCGCTGCATCTGGAGTTTTGGCCAAACTGGGATGAATGTCTCAGTTCAGCTGTGCAATGCTGTCACTATCCACAGTACAAAAACAAGCCTGCAATACAGAAAGAAAAATGTGGAAACAGGGAAAAGGTCTGTGTAAGGACATGATCTAAAACCGTATTGAAAATGGAAACAATGTTAAACTACATAAGAAAAATAAAAATCTTACATTTGTAATGTTATTTGAACAAATGTAGATCATGGACGTTTCTGTTGGCTGGCTATACCCCTTTGAACAAATTCTACAACTATTTGACTTTAGTGTATCATAGTTATTAAGACTTTATTCTTCAGCTTAGCTTTTGTGGTTTCATATTCCAAGCAACAGAATAAGTTATCTTGTATAATGGAATGAGGTATCTTCTTTCCAGGTAGGAGAAGGATGCTGTAGCCATTACAGTGCTGGCCAGTATCTTGAAGCACCTGTTTTGTGGGGTTTTCTTCCTACTCTGCTACAGAATTCCTCAGTGAAGTTGGGTAAGTAAAGCTCTGATGCTCTGAAGGTGCCCAGTACCTACTAGGTATCTCCTTTTGTCTATTTCTTTACTTCGAGCAGATTTTCAGGGTAAAAATATTAAGGATTAGGAGTGGCTTGGATATTTGGCAGTGGATGGGGTGGTGGGAGCCTGTTAGCTTTTTAAGAGAGTTGCCTTGATTAAATAGCATACATTATTTAAATGCAGGATATAATCAAGCTTAGCTCCTTGATAAACAAAATGATCAGTTTCTGATATAGTAATTCACCTTTTTAAAGTTAACTTGCAAGCAATAATTACATATTAACATAGAACTACCTCCTGTAGCTGACTTTATGGCAGCCACCAAGTAGGATTCATCATGGTAGAAGACTTGCTTGTAGCTAAAATAAATTAGCTAGTCCCACTCTACACTTCAGAAGTTTTGATGTGCTTATTAGACATAGTCATCTCTGTCTCGTCACTGCCTAAGCTTTCAAAGCATCAGACATGAAGTAAGTCTGCTGGAGGAGTTTCAGAGTGGCTACTCTGATCTATGAGGGAGTTTGAATGCTAATTCTGTAGCCTAAGTAAAGTGAAAATTATCTGAGTTGGCTCCCCTCTTTTTTTTTTTTTTTTAACACTCAAATCCCTTACAAGAGTATTTCCTCTCTCACTTGTGAAATGTAAAGTGCAATTGCGTCTGGCTTGCTTTTTTTGTGAGCTAGTTCAGCTGCACACAGCTGAGCCGAGATCTGACTAGCACAGCTGTGCTCCGTTAAAACAACAGACAATTCTTTTCCTACAAACTGCCAGGGATTGATGAATCTGTTCATTTTTACTTTCTGCGCTTAGGCGGTTAACTTGCAATTAAATTGTTTGTTCAGAAATAGTAATAAGATCTCTAAACCCATGAATCAAAAATGAAAACTTGAGTTGGAATGTACATTGCATATCCTCAGTATGAAGTTTTAAATCCATATGCTGCTTAAAGGCTCAATAGAAGCAGGCTTTCCCAGAGCTGTAGTTCTGGGTTTTTGTGTGTGTGTGTGTTAACCAAGAGGAATGCCTCACAGTTGTGATTAAAGAGACTTATATTTATCACAGGTTTATGTACAATCTTACATTGCTACTTTAATTTTCTAGGATAAATGGGTGTATATGACTTTTCCCCTGATCTAAAGCGGTTCCATGTCTTGTTTGGTAAGTTTGTATTTAAAAATCTTTGGCAGTTGTACCTTGTTACCCAGTCATACCTTAATGTGAAAAAGTTCTGGTGAAATGCCTTGCTTGAGGGGATTTCCACAGTGCTGAGATGTTTAAACTTTCGTGTATGAACTATCAGTGAAGGAGACTATTGAGTATCTCTTCTCTCCAAGTCTGCCATGTATGTGCTCTATGCTGTTTCTTAACCTCTTGCTTGACTGACTTGTAGCAGAAAACTTTCTGAACTCCTGCTCACAGGGGCTACTTTTGATGTTTTCCCACTGCCATGCGTAATAAATGGCAGCAACTCCACTAACATTCACTTGTTTCTGTTCTCAAGGACTGTTCCTGTATTCTGCGTACGCCAGTTGAATCAATCAGACCAGAAGAGCTATCTCAGAGTAGCGTCCATGAATGCCTGGTAAGGAGAAAATAGAAACATTAGCTGGCAATGTTAAATACGAAGCTGGTACATATTAAAAATAATCTCATTAGGGGGTACTTCTTAAAATGTTAACAGCAAAAATAACCAGAGTACTTTGGGGCTTCCACTTTGGAAGAAGACTATAGGTAACTAAGTGTTAATCTTAATCTTGTGCCAGTTTAAAAACAAAACACACACACACACAAAAAAAAGAACCCCAGTAGCTCATAAAACTCTCAGTGTAATGGTAAAAGCACTAGCTTGAATGTTCTGACTTGAGTACCTGATCTTAGCATTCTAATTAATGATATTTCTGTGTTAATTTTAAATAAGTAAATGTTTAAAAATTATATAGTCATTTTGAGAACTGTTCTTCCTCACTGTTAGGCTGATTCTGATCTAGCCTGGATTCCCCCATCAACAGGAAGGAATGAAATGGTGTTTTGCTCTTCTAATGTCTCTCACTATGAACTCCAGCTAGAAATAGGTAATATAAGTGTACCTTAAAATATTTCTTGTTCCTGCAGATGCATGCTCTCAATAGGTTATTGCTAACTGCAGTAAATACTAAGTTTAGAAAATGTATTATCAGCTGACTAGAACTATTCTTGTGTCTCCTTAGTTGAGAAAAGTGCAGAACATCGCTCATGTTTCTGTAATCACTTATTTTAAGATAGAAGACAAATCAACAATTACCTGAATTTTTCTCTTGATGTTGGTGCATGTCAGTTTTCTAAATCTGTGGTATCTGGACAATAAATGCAGCATTAAGTAACATCATATCTTGTCACTTGGCTGAGTTGATTGTTCTAAGGATGGCTGCCCTGAATCCTACTGTGCATGCATATGTTTATGTGAATATGCATGCTAAAAGTGTTGTTCATTTAGATGTGTAATTGATACTGGCAAATGTTTAAAGACTTCTAGTTGTTCTAAAAACAGCAGAGCCATGCTTTAACTAATTTCCTGGATATATTTTGCTGCAACTACTTAAGTGCTTGGCATTCTTAAAGAAAAGGTCATGCTGCTATCAATTGCAACTGTAGAACTGTAAAATTATCTCTACATATGAAGGAAATCATGTGGTGGATTATTATATTCTCCAATGTTAAGGTAGCCACTTCTGGTTTCAGGTAGGAGGTTCAACAACTTAACTTCAGTCTACCTTGCACGGCATACGCCTACAGGCATGCAAGTTGCTGTGAGGATCACAGACCTAGAAAATTGCTCTGAAGAGCATTTGAAAGCCTTACAGGTAAAGCAACAGCATTTCTGCACAAGTCTGATGAAGATAGTGATGAATACATATGAGGTTACTAAACAGAGGTAGCCTTTGTGTTTGTACTGGGTCATTTCAGTCAAGTTTTTCCTCCAAAGGAGTAGAATATAAACACAAAGCATGTGTAAATTTGAGAGTTGCTTTCTGAAGAAAACTGTTGATGAGTGTTTTAAATACTTATGTAATTGTACAACTTTTTGTTTGAAACATGTTCTGTAGTATGTATTTAACATCAAAACTTCGGACTACGAGCAAACTAGATCTACTTCAGACAAATACAATTATAGGCAAGTTATTTACATTTCTGTTGCAGGCTATACACATTACCTGCAACTATGTATAAATGCACATAGGGAACAGTTCTTTCTACTGATTAAATGCTCTTAGTAAGACTGCTGTCTTGTGGTTAACACATCCACTTTCATTTAATTCCATAGAATGAGGTGGTTTTATCCCACTTTTTCCAGCATCCCAACGTAATGACGCTTTGGACAGTGTTTACAGCTGGTAGTTGGCTTTGGGTTATCTCCCCATTCATGGCCTATGGTAAGAACTGTTAACTGCAATTTTGGAATAGGAAAAAGGGCTGATACAATTTGGACCACATGGTCCATGAGAGGTTTTTCTTTAAGCATCTCCTGTCTTGTAGAAAAAAGGAACTTTCCCAAACCATTTGTTTAGAGAAGTCTGTACATAATCTTCAGTGAAGACTGGTATTTGAACTGCATTAAATTGTACTTAGTCCTAACACCCACCATGTGAGAAATGATAACTGCGAGATGTATTTGACTTTATACAACTTTGAATTTTGCCAACAGAAAATTTGTCTAGATTGAATACAGGCTTTGCATAGACTTTGAGTTAACAGAAGCATGACTTGAGTGTGACCTTTGCATGATGGATGCATCGGTTGCATCCATGTAACTGTTCTTGATGTACCATAGTCAATATAAAGATGAGAATACCGTTCTTGATTAATGTATACAATGAAGCAAGCATAGACAGGTAATTTAGCAAGATTTGTTAGGCTTAGCTAGGTTTTTTTTCACTTCCAGGTTCAGCTAGACACCTGCTGAAGACTTACTTTCCTGAAGGAATGAGTGAAGCTTTAATAAGGAACATTCTGTTTGGTGCAATCAGAGGATTAAATTACATGCACCAGAATGGCTACATTCACAGGTAGGAGAATGTCAATAGGTAAGAATCAGATTACAGCATCCAGTTTATTAAGAATTTAGTTTCACTTCAGAACTTTTTCAGCTTAAGTGTTGCATCCTTCCTTTTTCTACATACCTTATTCTGCACTGACATAAGAATTTCTTCTTCAATAATACAGCAGAACCAAGTTTGTAGAAGCTTAACAAGAACAGTATTCATTTATTGTTTGAAGCCAGTTGTTACAGGGATTATACATCTGTCTTTGTCTCTTTGAAGCAGGAGAGAATCAGAGTTGCAGAAAGGGCTTCCTTACTTTATACCCTTTGCAGGGAAGGAGGGCCCCTCTCCAATTTCTGGCAGTTTTTTCTTGCTGATCATCTCTCCTCTTTCTTGGGGCTGTATTAAAAGTGTGAAGTGAAGAGTGAAGAACTTTCATGAAAATAATTGGCTAAATAGAACTGCACGCTAATGTCTTACTATCAGTTAATGAAATATGAATGCTTTTCTACTCTAGTAGTGCTTAGAGTAATTCTTATAACTAAAATTTACTACTTTATGTTACAGGAATATTAAAGCTAGCCACATTCTGATTTCAGGGGATGGGCTGGTTTCTCTCTCTGGCTTGAACAACCTCTATAGTTTAGTTAACAATGGACAAAAGTCAAAGGTGGTATATGATTTCCCCCAGTTTAGTACATCTGTGCTTCCTTGGCTGAGTCCTGAACTACTGAGACAGGTTAGTATAAATCACACTTCATTTTTCCTGTTCAAAGTTACTGGAAGTACTCAACTTCTAGCTTAAGTCTGGTTGTAGAAGTTCAATGGAAGCTGTTGAACTGCAACTTTTTAAAAGACATAGATGTACTGAATTTGTAATTCTCCTAAAGAGAACTGGTTTTAAAGCTGTTGGTAAGGTGCTGCTGTATTAAGTCTCTTTACCTGACCTTCCTGGAAACTACTGCAGATCCTAAAATTTGTCTTTGGTACAGTCATCAGATTTCTGAACAAAGCCAGAGGTTTCACAATTTAATTGCCTCAATCCTGCGTAGATTACAGACATTTGTATTTTTGTTGGCACCGCTCAGTGGCATCAGTGATCCAGTAGAGTTTTCTTTCTCTTACAGGATTTGTCTGGGTATAACATGAAGTCTGATATTTACAGTGTGGGAATTACAGCATGTGAATTAGCCAACGGACATGTTCCATTTCAAGATATGCCTCGCACTCAGGTATGATGCTAAACTCTATTTCTACTTCAAAACACTCTCAGTGTTTTTTGTTTTACTCAGAGAAACCAATGCTATTACTGCTGAAATGGGGGCTGCTTTTTGATATGCATGCTTCTTTCTAGACCAAATAATCCTTCCATTCCTGGAGTTTCACAGCTTAGCCTGAATAGGTCTGGATAGGTGTTGAACTCTTACACTGCTATTCCTTTCTACTAGATGCTGCTGCAAAAGCTGAAAGGTCCCACATACTGTCCTTGGGATATAAATACCTTTCCCCGTGGGGAATCCAGGATGAAGAATTCCCGATCAGGTGTTGATTCTGGAATTGGTGAGAGCATGACACGCACAATGACCAGTGAAAGACTACAAATTCCCTTTTCCAAAACGTTTTCACCTGCTTTCCACAACTTGGTAGAACTTTGCTTGCAACAGGACCCTGAGAAAAGGTAACCTTCTGGTGAAAACTAATTTTCTGTCACTTCAGTCTAAGGCCAAGTATAGCCCACAATTTAAGATACAGTAATTAGTTGAATACTGTTAAAGTCAGAATTTCAAACCAGAAGTACTACGTAAAATACTACATTTACCTTTGGTTTTGTAATTTAAGAATTATCTTGCCTGATAAAGGAACCATGCTTCTAAAGTTGTTTGACCCCTGAATTTCTTGTAATATGAGTATACTTTGTAACAAGTAAAGTTAATTTTTAAACATGCACTTTGTCCAAGAAAAAAAACAGAAATCTGAAGTATATGTTTTCAGTACTGTGTCTCTTCTGAATGAGGCATTAAATTCCTTGTTAAAACAGAAAAGTGAAAAAGCCTTTAAAAATAGATTTATTCAGTAGTGCTTTCACTACAAATTGAGGCATAGACTGTAGGAATTCTGTGCTGCTTTTCTTATGCTTCATATTTGTCCTGTGGATGAAAAACCACAGGGCTTAAATTGATTTGTCAGTCTGGCTCATCTTCCAAAAGCAGTATTTTACTTTCCAAAATATAATTATACTGTTCATTTTATGATCCAGGCCATCAGCAAGCAGTTTGCTTTCGCATACGTTCTTCAAACAGGTGAGTTTACTACATTTTGTTAAGTGACACAGATATAACCTAAATAAGCCACAAATTATTAGAGTTCTATTACAAAATAATTAAGTTAGCTGGAGCCAAAAAACATCCTGTAACAGCATATCTGCTTCAGACTACTTTTTTTTTTTTTTTTTTTAAACAAAATGGTATTGGTAGAGTAATCCACTTCCCCTTTGATAAAGTCTGTTTAACTGAAGTCAGCCTAACTAATAAGAATAATGGTTAATATTCTAATTTAAAGCAGAAGAACTGCATAGCTAATGTAATTGATCTTGAAAGACTAATCCAACTTACTCTAGAGTGAGGAAAGCCAAACCCCTCATCCTGTTGTTTTCAATATTGTCACATGCAAGAACGTGGCTCTGATTTCACATGCTTTTAATTAAGTCAGATGCAATGTTATGTAGACTTTTATGTGCAGCCCTGTTTTAACTTTTCTTCTTTCTAGATAAAAGAACAAACACAGAATTCACTACTGTCTCTATTACCACCTCCTATTCAAAATAACAGATCAGAGTTCTTGGCACTGCCCTCAACAGCAGTTGGGACTGAACTTGGATGTATTACTGCAAATCAAGATGATACAGACTGGGAATTCTAAATAAATAGCAAACAATCATACCTCTCCTGTGCTTCAAAGAAGGAAAATGTGATTTGTATTTGCTGCTTTAGTTTGTATGGTTAAAATACAATTAGACAAGGTATACTTGAAAATGCCATTGAAGTGGCCATATTTTCATTAACTACTTCCTCTGTTGGCATCATGAAGTGCAGTGTGCCTCACTTTCTGACCATAAGGAAGACTGTAAATAGAGAATGGCTGAATGCCTATATCCCTCTTTCAAAATATTTCTTAAGAAGAGAGTTCCTGCTGTAATCTTACTCTATACTGTATTTTCAGCTCATTGCTGCAGTCCATGTGCCTTTCTGAATTCAGGTTTGAGTTTTGTCTGTGACCTTACATAATCAATCTATTTGTCTTTTCATTATCACCCAAATTATTTTAGTAAGGAGAAATCTTCCACTTCCAAGTCTAAATTTGAAACTGCACAAATTAGTTCCTTATACAAATAAATGTTTCTCTTTTCACATGTCCCAAAAGGTATTTTTCTCACTTGATGTGCTGTCATACTTGCCAAAAGTTAGCTATACATCATTTTTCATGCAGTTTTAATACTGCGTGTTTCCCAAAGAAGTTAAGCTACTTGAAAATGTGACTTATACTCTTCCATTTGTCTATATTCTTAGTAAAAATTTATACTTTTGCATCTCCGTTTATTGTTGTGTCATTTTAGCAATTAATCTGAGGACCCCTTACTATGCAAAGTCAGTCTCAAGTTATAGCAGGAACGGGTTAATTTTGAAGAATCATATTAAATAATCTAAAGTTACTGTACATATTTTTATTTATACTCTATTCTTATTCACCACCAGAGCTTACCAGAATCTAACACTATTCTCTTAGAAGAACAGGTAACATGCATTAAGCTTCACTGGCACTGCTGCTGGCAGACAAGCCTCTTCTGCAAGGCACAGTTACGTTCCCATGGATAGATTCAGCCATAACAAGAACCTAATAAAACCCCCAGGATCCTAGTGAATTTATCTGTTCTAAGTGAGATGAAAAACTGCCTTTCTTCTCCCTACAATTCAGTAAGTTCTCAACTCTTATACTGTACCAGGCAACTCAAGCTGAACAAAAGCAGCTTCTTTTAAAAAAAGCATATTCTCACTGTGTTTTAGTAAAAGTGTCCCAAAGCCACTAGTACTTTACTGATGTAAATTCTGACTGTAGTAAAAATGTATGGATATTGAATGGATATATTTTAAATTTTCAACATAAAATACATTCCACGTTAAGTCTTCAAGTCTTCCATAGCTGAGCCGGCCTGCAGCAAACCTTGAGAATACTGCTGTTTTGCCAGTGGCTTCATTGCAAAGCCTTGAAGACCAAATGACCAAAATGCAAGCCTGAGACAGACGTAAAATTCTAAACAACCACATTAAAGTATTAACAAAAAAGTTGATTCTACCCATTATGCTGTGAAGAGAGCTCTATATTTCAAAACCTAGTACGTGAAACTTAAGATTAAAAGCCTTTCAGTAAACTTACCCTATCTGTCTCCATTTATTTCTGTAATTCTTGTACTTCTGTTTTCATCATAGTCCAGTCATACTAACAGCTTCTTGTTACCGCAGGAAAGGAGTTTCGTATTTATGTCAGTCATTAGGTAAGAAAATAGTTGTCTAAACTAGAAAAGTACTGTGATCATAAAAATACTAATAACAATTATATACCCTTAGAGAAAATATTTTCATGTGAACCCCATGTTCTTAATTCTTAACCACTAAAAATTTTGACTTTTCAAATCACATACACTATATAGCACCTACAAGTAACTTTTGACTAACAGTATATGTAAAAACCAAGCCAAGTAAGTGAGAATACATGTGAAGTTGTACATATTTTAATTACAGATCTCTGAATAAACATTAATACTCTTTTTGGAAAAAAAAAAAAACCAAACTGCAGAAAATTTCAGGTAGCTTAACTGCTAGTATTTGCAAGTTTCTCTTGAAACAACAGTGTCCTGTGCTCTGTATAAAAATGAACTTGGATACTAATAGCAAAGTCAGTATAAATTGATTTAAACAACTATGTGTTCCAGTTGAGTTACTTTGCTGCTGTCTCTTCCTGTGGAAAAAATTAAAATTACTTATTTCCATATACCAGTCCAGCTTCTGTACTGACATAACTTTTAAAAAGAAAATGAAATACAGTTTCTTAAATTAAAAAGCTTACAAGTCTTCACTGTTAGAACTATTGCTTTTCAACAACTACAGTATTTTCAAACAAAAGTAATTAAGAGGCACTGTGACTTCTAGTAATTCTTAAAATAACCAGAGATACTTAAAACTAGTTCCTGGATTATGTTTGCTGAAAGGTTTTCTGCAGTTTTCTCATTAACTGTGAGACTTTCTATTAAGGAATAATGCAAAATAAGAAATACCAGTTAATGTAAAAGAAATATATAATCATCATATTGTTAAGGAGGTTTCAACTACCTGTCATGGAAAAGAACTTCTTGGAAACAGCTGTGTTCTACTGAAAATCTGAAGGTTTTGCATACAGTTAGTGTTTTCAAAATCTGAGATTCATGATCTGCATTGTTAAGATTCAAGTTGCAGAGACCTTCTATTGCAGGCTGACATAGTTCTAAGCACAGTATTTTTCTTTCTTTTTTAGAGCACTTATCTACTCATACCAGTGGTGAGTGTTATCAGCATATGAACTAGAACAACTTGGACTTGAAATTTTCAAGTATCTTACATTTAGGCTCTATGTGAAGTATTTTCAAAGGGGCTTATAAAGCTTTTACACATTTGCAAAATCTTATGGTCACTGAAACAGAAATTTATAGTTTGGTCACTTTTGCAATACTTGTGAAAACAACACAAGGGTTTTTTTGCTGCCACCTTTCTTTGTGCTAGCATTTAACACTACATAAAATAATGAAATACCTGTAACAACAGAAAACTTACATTAATTAACATTATCCTTGAATATATGCTTAATGCTGTTGAGTTTCTTATTGTCTTGGTCTGATACCTCAGCAGTGAATGACTGAATGGATGAACACAGGAAAAAGTGTGATTTACTCAGAATCAACTTGATCTGCTAGATGAACTACTCACTTCAAAGAGTCTCAATGCAGTAAATATCCATTGAAGAGGCAACAGTTTCTTCCACTTGATGCTATTACGGAACAAAGGTAAACATTAAAAAAAAAATTGTCAAATTACCAAGTTTTACCTTGCCTCTCTCTTTTCCCCATCCCCTCCTTCTCCTCAAGTACCGTGAAACCAGTTTTTAGCGTAGAAGATGGGTAAAATAATGGGAGAGCATTTGAAAACCATTGTTCTGAATGTCTCTAACACAAGGCAGATACCTAAGTAGGTGACTTACGTACCCTGCCTTTAATGCTAGTATGTAGCTTTGCTGAAGTATGTTAGGTTGTCTAAGAAACCTCTAGAACTACTGAGCTAGGTGTAATGACCTGTCCTGATGATGGTCATCCCTATCCTGTATGAATGAGGAAAAACTACTAAAATTTGGAGATACTATATAACACTGCCAGCAAGACAGACCACAAAAGACTATGAGTAAGAACCATAATATGAAATAAAGCTATTTGATGTAACAGACGAGTAAAGACTTAAGGATTTAAAAAAGAAAGCACTGAAAAATTGAGATGGTCTACTAATAAACCAGCTAGCAGAGTAACTTTTGGTATTTAACATAATGAAACCTATCCAGAAACTTGAGATAGGATGAAGGAAAGATTAGGTTTAAACAGGTTCCTGTGGAAACCTCCCTCATTCCTAAATGAAAACAACAGATTGTACTCCATAAATTAGTTACATAAATATGTGTTACTTATCCAAAAGTCCCATGAAGTTCCTGAAAAATGCCAAAAAACCCATATGAAATTAGCTGCAATTGAGTGGTGGTTTTATTTTTTAGGTATGATTACAGAATACACCATTACTACTGGATTTACCCACAAGTCCAGATTCATGGAATCTATATTTGTCCTATCCTGAAAGCTACCTGCAATAGAGGAGACCACTAATACAGGCTGAAATCTTGCCTAACAGTCTTAACAGAGCTTTCAACATTTGGGTCATGGCAAAACAAATTGACACACTAATAATAAAGTACTAAGTAAAGGAATATTAACATCAAAAATTCCTAGGAAGGAACTTGGTGAACCTTCAGAGTGGCTGCTTTCGCTCACTGTAGCTATAATACTGTAGTTAATGTTGATTAACCACATTAGAAAAAAAAAACTTGAAAATATTTCCTTTCCCATACTTTCACATTTCTGAAATGCAAGAGATTCTTGCTAGCAGAAACACATTTTCCATCCAGGTCATTTTTTCTTGCAATGTTCTGGTCTCTCTGCCTAACCTGCTAGCCTATCACATCAATTAGTTACAATTCTGATTACCACAGTGTGCAACACCTTATTTTGTAAATGCCCCAAACCAGAAAAGCTATATAACACCTGTTACAAATCCAAAGATCCCCTGAAATGTGAAAACACATTTAAGGTTGGTTAATACATTAAAGTGAAAAAAAAATGCAATAAAGATATTGCAAGAACATTATTACTATTACTAATACATTATGGGTTTTTTTGATCACAACCTGGGAACATTATCTTTCCAAGTGAGATTGCAAGTAAGATTTTCCTTGCCCTCTCACTTTTCTTTGGAAGGTCATTCTGGTTTCACATGTCATTTTGGGGTGTCACAATTTCCAGTAATAATTCTTCAGAGTATTTCACATAATTCACCCTTTTCTTAGGATTAATTTCCATTTGGTGTGCTTGAACGGTTTGATTCTCAAACTTCAAGCTGGTAGCATTTCCTGTAATAGAGGAATCCAGTGATGCAATCTAAGAATTTACAGACTGTACTCTGGAGGTCTCTCTAGCTGACCTACAAATACGGGGAACCAGTATAGGGTCTTGCAGAATACAGTGGCTGACTCATGTTCTCCTAGAGCTTCTCCTAAATAATGTATTTTTTTCTTTATTTTATCAGTAAAAAAGACTATTCAGACTTCACATTCAGTGACAATGTATGTATGCCCAAACATACTGGCTCTAAAACACTTTATCTAGAACCTACTGCCTTCTATCTGTCCCCTTCTTGATATATCTCATAACTAACTTACTAATTAGGTTTATTCTATTATTATTAGTAGTAATAACATGTAATGTACTAACACACAATAAGGAAATATATTATTAACAGATTTTACAGGATTCCCATGAATCCCTTAGAATATTTATAATGGCTAGCCAATCACGAGAAGAGGAATAAGTTGGCACAATTTATTCAAGGACCTTAGTCACCACTGCCCATGATTTTAGCAACTCTTCTATCCACAACTTAATTCAACCTACCTCTGGCATGTAAAGGGAAGACGAACAATTCTAACATGGTAGTTTAGAGCAGAAAGCAAACTGTCATATGGGATGAAAATCATAGGGAAAATCTACAGGAGCATCAACT